GTACAGCAATATATATATTACGGGTGGTTTCACTTATATCATGGGGTGAAGCTGTCCAGCCATAGACCCATAAGACACAACAGATGAGAGACCTGGTGCAGGGGTTCTGCAGACACCGAGCATCCTGGAGGTTTAAAGGCATAATCGCTGTAGTTTTAGACAAGCCTTTCTGCCGTTCAAGGTCACTAGTTAGGAAATGCAATAACACTGGCAAGGAACCAAATGCGTTTACAAACAGTGAAGATTTATATCAATTGCTCCGGGAAAAAAAAACAAAAAAAAACAAAACAAAAACAAAATCAGCCAAAATTCATTGGAGACAAAAGTAACATGTCAAAGTGTATTAAAAGAACTCGGAGCTAGATTAGCTTGGCGGATAGCGCCGATAACCTGGAGAATTACAACTCACATATATAATCAGATCTAGCGTTCCGGAGCTCCAGGGCAGTGAGACTGATTTTCGGTTTCGGAAATAATTCTAAACTTTACTTTTAAGCTAGAGGACTGTTTAAGACTTTTTTTTAGGACTTTTCTCCCCCTTTATGATGAACTTCTATAATTTAACGATATGAACTAGTATGTCACTAAGGAGGGGATGGGTTAGACATCTATATGGTCTAGAAAAATCAAAGAACCAGTGGTTTTTCTCTTGTTTCCTTATTATTCCGCCTTAAGCCGGTGCTGAGGGCCCTGCGTGCCATTTACAACCTTCACTTACTAAGTATCATGCCAGGAATGCGTGAAATGTGTCTTCATTTAATGATGTTAGTGCTCAGATCGTCTAAAGTCCATGCTGATATATCTGCAGGGGGTCGTATGGCATGGGACCTCCTAAGGCTTCTTATGAGCACAGCGGTAATCTTTCTTCACGTTTTAATGACTGCAACATCAAAAACCTGCCTACCTGTACTGCTAAGTAAGAGGAGTAAAATATTTATCAGAATGTAGTCACTTATCACAATGATAATATTTACTAACATTCAATGTGTGACATTATCTCCCTCTGTATGTTCATACAAAAGTGGAGGGAGAGTCTCTTGATTGAAATGCCAACTCCAATCCCTGTTCTGGCATATTGTTATTGAGTTACTGTATGTGTATCTAACTATCCTACATTGATGCTTGACTCGTTTTGCATTAAGGGTTTGATCCACCATCCACCTCCCGTTACAATGTACTGGTTGACTATGTACTGGTCCTGTGAAGCTTTTGCCTTCTTTCGTACCTAATTCATCATGTAGTACGTTAATTGTTTCTGCCTGTATGTACTTAATGTTGGTAAAGAGGCACCCAAAGCAGCAGTAAAACTCATTCACTGTGGTTATGGTGCAAAGAGTATTGCCTCACCGCAGTTTGTAAACTGAGCGTAGTCTGATGTATTTTTTCTTGGGAGTCTGTTAATATAATGGGATAACTAATTCTTTTAACATATGTTTTGTTTTTATCTTAAAAACAAAACATTTTAAAAACTACACCAGATTAGACTAGTCCTCATGGTGGCAATGATCGGCTGTGAGTGCTGGTGGAAGGTTAACCCAGAATTTATCTGTCTCTGAAGTTCAAGGCTGGATGAATATCCCATTAGTTCACTTCTCGGTGGCAGTAGACAAGCTGCGGCTTTAGGTGCCAGGAGGAGAACAGTGGCTTCTGTTATGATGTTTGCTGCAAACCAGGGGGTTCCCATAGTGGGGAAAGACTGTGTCTCAAATCGCATGGTAATCATTAACTCAATAGGTGCAAGTAGCTTATAAACTTCAGGCAACTAAAAAAAGCCTATAGTAATGTTAGCTGGATCAGCAACTTTGGGTTAAAATTGTTTAGAAGACACAAAAAAGGGACAATGTAGCAAGGGTCATTGGTGGAGTAACATAGAAGGTTCTTAAAAACATTAACAGGGAAATGTATTCAGGAGGAAAGCAATATGACAACGTGAGAAGCAGAGCACAGTATTAGCTGGATGGTTTTGTTTTTCTTAAAGCTTTTGGTAAATTTTGAATGGTTTTTCTGAAAGATTTGTGGAGTCGGTGTATAGACAAACACAGTGAAGCAGTAGAGAGGTTAGTGAAGTTAATGAATCTGGAAAAAAGCATTTAGAGCAAATTAGAGCAGACAAAGTCTTTTGAGGGAAAGATAATTAGTAAATAGTTGCAGTAATCAATGTACAACACAAGGGACTGAATTCAAATTTTATGGGAATATTACGTGAGAAATGTTTGTGAGTGAAATCAGATATAAGGATAAGCTGGTTATCTTAGAGCTGCATCCCCAGAATTATAAAGTTAAAGGTCACATTAGCTGCAGGTAAAACCGTTTACTCAGAATTAAAGTCTGTAATATCTCATCGAACGGAGTTCTATGAAGACTCATTATTCTATGAAGTTTGAATCTGTAAAGCTAAAATCCAGCTGGTAATGTTACCCCTCCAGGGCAAGGGATTAGGCAGATGTTGGTACATTAGGACAGTCCTGGCACAGCATCTACCATTAAGGGGTAAAGGAGGGAGCCCCCATTTTACGGCTTTTCAGAACACTAGGCAACACATGCCACTGATGGAACGTGTGCGAATCAACTTTAATATGATAAGAACTAGGAATTGTGATTCTCCTCCCTCCCCCCCCTTTTTTATTTTAAATCTGTTAATACATTTCCGGTTATATATTTACTTTCCAGACATATCGATGGCTGAATTAGTTATACAAACTAGCTTTTCTTTATCGTAAAATAAATAAAACCATATTCTGTCTCATTAGCACTGAAGCACCACGTTCTAGGTTTCAATGCTCAATTCTTGAGGTGTTTCTTCTTAAAACATCGAACGCTACCAATTCTGGGTTTTAATGAAACCTAAAGGTCTGCTTGCTAAATCCCAACGCGCCCTGAGTTACTCCCATAGTTGATAGTTGTAAGATGATGAAGCTACAAATTATACATTTTATTGACCCTAAATGAAAGTCTGTACTTTCTCCACAAATGCTATTTCCGCAGTATTATTCTGCAGTTCTGAGCTGCCAATGAAACAATTCCTGCTGCACTCTTTATATGCCTCCCTTCACATCTCTAGTTATGGTCACTGACTAGTTGATATCGATAGCATAGCTCTGTAGTCCTGGTCTGGGGTTTACACATTTGCTGGATTAGGTCTGCCAAGCTCAGCCGAACTGGCTGCGTTATTAGAACAAAAATATTCACACTAAAAAACATGTAAAGTTGTATATAACCCAGGACATACGATACTTGAAAACGAGAGAAATCTCAATGTATCCATCCTGGTAAAATATTTCATAAATAAATAAATATCATGATGTATTTAAAAAATATCTCAGAACTGTCCCAAGGGTCTATTATTCTGGTGTACATCAACGGTTCTTAACATTTTACCACTGAGCCAAATTGTGCACCATTAGCTTTTCATCGGGGGAATCGTCAAATGTGTCTCCTTTCCACATTCCAATGGAGAATGTAATACTAAATAACACCGTAAATATATATATTGTGGAAGTTTCCTGGGATTGATGGATATAATGTACCTTGTGTTACTAAAGGGGAGAGGGGTCTATTTTCTGGATCCTATCCAAAGGGATTACCCACTGACCTGAATGTTGCAGGTGCATGAACTCCTTGATACTTTGTACTCGGTGAATAAACTTCTTCAGAGGCAGCGATTGTATCCAAGGACAGTGTGACATTTGTAAGATAACCAGAATTACCAAATTATTTGCAAAAATACTAAATATATAACTTAGCCAATGCATATGTGTAGCAAACAGGCATTCCTTAAATATACTCTGCAGAGATATTAGTGCAGAACTTTAAACTCAGTCAAATGTTACAACTGTTACAATCGAGACTGACCAATTTTTCTTACCTACAATCCAATTCTGGAATAATTACTATATGTCAACCGAAAGGAACAGGGTGACCCACATGACTGTTAAACAAAGTTTACTGTGATTTTATTGTGACACAGGCCACGTTTCCCAATTTGTTTCCTGATGTTTCAGATTTTATCTGGGTAATTACCATAAAAATTGTGAGGGATGTATCACATTATAAGACTGGAACGTTGATCTACCTGTGTTGTAAATAGAAATGCTTTGGATGAAACGAAGTAGACCCACGAAATCGGTGAGTTTCGATAATTGTGTACTTTATGTCGGAAAACAATTGACACTTTCATTACTGAACATGTTGACTCTCTCCAGTTATCATGTGTGTCTATTTAATGTAATTCTGAATAGTTTCATTTTATTTATATAAATATAATCTCTTTGGGGTCCAGTATTTGTGTCTCCACTACTACTTGCCAAGGTGCTACAAACTTCAGTCAAAATGATAAAAATAACACCATAAAGTACCCTTAATGGACTTATAGTGAGTTTGAGCAACAAATAAGATGTTTGTCATTCATATCAATGTTTCAGTCCCATAAATGGAATTTTATCAGGATAACCTGGACTATCCTGATGAAAGTCTGATTACGGGACTGGAATATTTATAAATTGGGTTGTTTGGCTACATTGTAAGTCCATTGAGTGTTTTCCGTCACACTCACTCTCTCTCTGACTGAATTAGGACTCTTTCAGAATGTGCTGTTACTGTGTTTTGCCCCTTTTCGTAAGACTTTCCAGTTCCACCTATTCATCATTAACTTCAACATCACACAAATGCTAAAACAACCCTAGTGACGTGCGGCAACACCGATATAATCCGAGATTAACCTTTATTAAAGAGATGCTCTATTGTAAGCTGTGAATTCAAGAAATGATACATATATATGAACATAAAAATGGCTATTACATGAGAGTTGATTATCACCCATAGATAGATATATGCTCACCTTCTCCAACTTACCACTTCCTGTCCAAACAAGAAGTGTGAGATCTTTAGGAACGGGTCACCTATAGTGCGCCGGTAATCAAGTCTGAATTAGTGAAATATAATATCGGATTCATTTGCTTATTTCACCTTCTGCCTGAACCAACGACACACAATTTTGTTGAAGAAAGAAATCTTTATTTATCTGAATAATAATAATAATAATAATAATAATAATAATTATATACTGTTAATCTGAATAACACCTTTGAAGCATACAGAGTGAGAGAGGAGACTGGTGAGAAAGAACAGGAGGGACCTCTGAGCAAATTAATTCCATGTACAGCTGCAGGGCAGATCAGATGTGTGTATATTTTATTTTATATCTATATATAATATATATACACACATATTCTATATAAATTTCATAATTTGTCTTTTTACACGTGTGTATAAGTGTGCGTGTGTATATATGCATATATACACATATACATACATATATGCACGCCCGTGTGTATATAAATATAATTACATGTACAGATATATACACACACCTGGTATAAAAAAGTTTAGCAGTTTCCTTGGATTTGATTTCTGTGTACGTTCTCTATTTTTCCATGGCACACATAATATAAAGTAAACATTTAATGGTGTATGGGAGAAGCCATATTGAGAGGCGGAGGGGTGTATTAACTGGTGTATAGATATTCTATATTATATATATATATATATATATGTACAGGAATCTCCTCTGCTTTTTCGCTGCAGGGGCAGAGTCCATTTCATTACCAGTCCCTCAATAAGATATATAATATATTTTTTTAATATTATATATATATATATATATAGAATATATATATATAATAAATAATTTTATTTTATGTTATTTTTTTTCCCCCTTCCCAATCCTTTTGTGGTATGCACAGCAAGGGGGTGGAGGGGAAGCTTTGAGACTTGCCCAAATGAGTACGATTTACATGGTCCAAGTTTATACCCGCTACCGAAGTCGGTGGCAGGGCAAACAATCTGAGACGCTCGAGCTGTTTTCGCCCCACTTCTCACGTCCATTCAGGATTTGTGTGTAAATTTGACCATCTGATTCCCCCAACGTGAGGTACTTCATAGATGTAGCTTGGACACTGGGTGAGGGAGAGGGAGGGGGAGGGGAGCTGTCCAGGGGGGCCTTGAATGGAACCAGTGTGCATGAAAGAAACCTCTTTCACCAAGTACATCTATGGAAACACTCCTTTTGGTTGCAAGATATCACTTACATATATCTCAGATTAGTGGTGTAGCAGCTGTTAACCCCTCGTCTGCTGGCAGAGCCAAGGAAATGTATCTTATCTGACAGCACAGAGGTTAAATCTGACACGTTACAACAACAAAGAAACAAAAACTCTATACCCCGGCATTCAGCACCATTGTAAAATCCCCCTTAGACCATCACGGATACAGTATGTCTCTAGGGAAGTCGGGTGTAGGGACAAGGAGAATTCCGTTGGTTTTCAATAAAGTGCTGTGGAAATCATTGTTTTCTTGATGTACGTATAAATATATAAAAGAGGAAGCCCTTTGGAAAAAAAAGAAAAAGCTGCTTTAAGCAGGAAAAAGCTTCCAGCGGTGACTCCTCTTAACTTGACCAACATGACAGCTCTTCCAAGTCTAGAGCCTCCCCAACTGGCCGGCGGCTGCCGTGGACCCTCCTCAAGGCTGCCACGAGCTGCCGAAGACCCGGAGAGTTCGGTCGCCTTCTTTCCAAGAGTCAGGCGCTCAGCGGGGGAGACTTATAAAAGGTTGGGTGCATAGTGACAATTGTTAAGACGCTGCAGAGTTGTGATCTGCGGACGTGCATCCTTCATAACCTGTCTCTGCCTCCTGCGTCTTTTAATGAGGTTCTCTCCGTACAGCAGGGAGGGTGGAAGCTCAATTTTGAAGAGATTGTGGAGCATGGTTTGTGGATGAGTGGGAGCTGTGAAACAAATGCTGCAACATATGAAGCTGCTGACCCGTTTTTTTATTTTTTCAGCTTAATTCTGCGTAGTGTCCATCCCAGCTCCCTTTCCTTGGGTGGGGGAAGGTTTTGGTGTTCTGTCTCGGCTGGGGGTTGGGAGTTGGTGAAGATATTTGTGACAGGTTTGCAGATGCCTCTTTACTCCTTGTAGAATTTGTTTTCTTTACTGAAGTCCATTTTATAGTTTTAGTTGTGTGTCTATGCAGAGGATCCACCGATGTTCTCACTACAGGAAAAAGAAAAAACACAAAAAAGCAAAAAAACGCAAAACACTGAACATTGCCATCAGTCACACATATACTATATATAGCGTAAACAGAAATACACTCATAAATGCCAAGTAGTCACTCGGGTAAACTAGGCAAAAAGTCACTCACAGAAGTTAGTCACATTTCTGCCTCAACTTGAGACCTAATGAAGGTCGAGTGACAGAAACATTGTTTAATTGAGAGAAGTTGCAGTTAGTCCATAGTGTACATTTATACATTTATATCGATACAGAGTCAATATTTCAGGTTTTCTCCAAGATTTACCATAATTAAAAAAAAAACAAACAAAAAAATTCAGATCTAAAAGGGTGCTATACAACTAAAATAATATAGAACAACGCTCACTTGGAACAGGCATGTTTGCGTTAAGAGAATTTTTGAATCTGAATCATAGAAATAGCTATTGATGGCAGCTTTTATTATCGTTGAAGGTGATTTTAATAGAACTATGCAGTGACAACATGACTGCCTTCTGAAATAACAATCCACGCAACTTAACGAACGCTGTGATTAATGGGCATGAAAAGCCCGACAATAACTGCATTCCGATGGACAAGTCTCCCCTTTTGTGAGAGTTGCCCATAAGATTCTGTGATTGCTCTCTTATAATGTTCAAAGCATTGACTATTTTATTGTGTCATGATTTTTGCTTTGCAGTAGTTTTTGTTTTATTGTGAATTGAGTCTTTGTTTCGTATTTTAATCTTAAACCGTGTCAGTGCATTTGAGTAAATTTAGATTTATCCTCTTTACTATTATTAATATAAAGGGGTACGGAGGGACATGTTTAGGAGCTAAGTGCTTGGGGACCACTATCAATCTGTAAGGGGAAACTGGAAATGTAATCATATGGACACAGGAGATTGGTCATCGGGGCATTATTTTATAGAAACTGGGCATCCCATAGACCAGGGGTAGGGAACCTTTGGCACTCCAGATATTGTGGACAACATCTCCCATGATGCTTGGCCAGCACTACGGCTGTAAGAACATTATGGAAGATGTGGTACAAAATATCTGAAGTGCCAAAGATTGCCTACTCCTGCCATAGACCCTATTGGACCAATATTAAACAATAGATTGGACCTCTCCTGGGTCATGTCAAACCAATCAGATTTTATGTAAAGGGTCCACAAGCCAGCATCTCCTGGGCACAATTTTATTTCCACTTATCCTTCTGCCATTAGGGTGAAAGATGGGGTAGTGGCCACTTGTCACACCTTTTTTTGGGATCCAGGGGACCTCATGATTGATTTAAAAAATAAATAAAATAATAAATGTATTAGGAGAGAGAGACAATAAGCTCTTTCAATTTGATGTATAGGTGGTTTAGAGGTCATCTAACCTCCCCTCCTCACTCCCCCTCCAGCAGAAGCAGGTTTTCAGGTGGCAACTGGTATAATTTAGGAACAGAGGCAGAAGCCAGCATAACTTGCCCAACACTACAAGAAATGAATCCTCAGTGGTATGATTACACTGTACTGGAGGATTATGGGAAAGATACATCTATTTGCATTAAATCCACCTTCTGTGTCGTCTCAGAAGGCAGTTTGTCAGCATATATTTTTATGCATCATAATCGATGTATACAATTTGAATCATATATAAAACATTATAGCCACTTTTATGTACAATTAAAAATCTTCATATTGCAAATGAGACCATTCCATGTTTTGGGAATCATGTAAAATTCAACACATGTATCCGGTGATGGATTCACAGAAAGTCCAATAAAAACTAACTACAGACGAACCAAAACGGCGCTACGTTAAAATAAATTATAAAAAAACCTTTTAATACTACGTGATATAAATATCCCCTTAAGTCTACGCCTGGCTGGCAACATAAGTGTGTGTCTTTAATATAACACGATTAATAAATACTGGTCAGGCAGCCAGAGTCCAGCAATTCAGAAAGCTTGAAATTGTAAAGAGAATCTTTCATGTGTGATTTATATACATTAAAATAACAGTCAAAGGGTTCAACAAACTCTGACATGTCTTTTTTTTTTTTTTTTTTTAACATATTACAATATAAAGAGGAATGATAACATTCCAGGCTCATACTGACACAAAAATAATCCCAAACGTAAGCCATCTGACCTCTCACTAAGAATTTAATTTCACATTTTACTAGAGCCGTTCCTGATGAGAATTAGGTTACAATTTAAGATAGTAGGTATATGTAAGTGTGTGCACATGTATGCCTATTTAATATATATTATACACACACAAGTAAAAAAAAAAAGTGGCCTTAAGCCAACGTGGAATATTAATATAATTTTTAAGCGCAGGGATACTCCAGAGTACAAATGAAATGAAAGTATAAATTGAGAAAATTGTATGTTTTGGTTCAATCATGGGATTTATGAAGACAAATAAAAGAACACACATAATTAAAGGGGAAGCAACTTCTAATCGAAAACAAGTACTTTTTATGGTACGTCTCGTACTCTATAATGGCTGAAGCCATTTCTTTGCTTTTTAATGTTCAGTAAACTTAACAATATTGGGGGTTTTAACTAATGAACCGGTGGACGCTACACTCTGCAAGGCAATGAACGCTACTGTGCTACTGTTTTGAAATTTTAAAGGGATACTATAGTCACTGCTCTCCTTTTAATTCTGCAATGTACAACACTCCTGCAGGGTCTAGAAGGATATTAAAAGAGCAGGAGATAGGAAATTCTAAATTAAACAGAATGTGCAATAAGGAACATTAAACATTAGATCTATCTTTACAGGAAGTGTGTAAGGAAGTTGTGTAAGTCTTAGGCTGCATAAACACAGTGATTTAACACCTAAATGACAAGCAGTTAGACTTAAAAGATAAATATAGGGGAACTACAAAAATATGTGCATAATGTAATGGTGTAAACCAATTCCTAAATCTTCTCAAGCTGTTTATGTAAAAAAAAAAAAAAAATAAGACCTTACATTGTATATTAGCTCTATTTTATCATCTTGTTTTTAAAATATTTTCACTTACAAATAATTTTCCTATTTTTTTTTAAATTAATATGTATTTTTTATTTTATTTTTATTTTTACTATAAGGTATTGTTCCTTTCATTTTCCATAAAAAGAAACATCATTGTATAATATGGGCCAAAAGGCCATGTAGGAAAGATGAAAAAAAACAAATCAGCTATTTCTCATATTTTTACAATTTTGCTCCTGGTCTAAATACAGAGATAATATTAAAAATCTACTATAAAATATCCATGCATCTGACATATTAATCTAATATTGTCTTTGTCTCTATGACTCCATTTTTAAATATTTTTTTTCTGATTATAAACTTTTTTTCTCATTAAGTATCTTAGTGTCAATATTTGTCTTGATAGATAAGTCCTGTGGGTCCAGTGCTCAATTTTCTAAATTTAAATACTTTCTTTTCACATTTATCAAGTCATTCCCCTACATCACCATAAAAAAACAAAACAACCCCCCTCCCCCCAACAATTAAGGATATACATATATTTATATATATAAAATCTGGAAATCCAGAATAAATATATACATTTTTGTCTTAATGACTTTGTATGTACA